GCTGCCAGGTGTTTAAAAAGTTATATTCAAATTATTTAATAAGTTCAACGAATTACTAAAGGATGAGTATCAATCGAAATTACCTTCTGACCTTTATTTAGGAGGGTTGCAACGTGTTTGAACAATCCAAATCAAATTAGTTCATCTGCTATTGAAACACACGTGTATCACAATGTCAGGCGAAAGAAATTTAAGAATATTTTAGTTTGAAATAACTTTTAATTTAGTTAACGCATACACAGTTTTAATGAAATATTTAGATATGGGTGTGAATCGAAAGAAATTTATGAAAGCTTAGTTTGAAAATATCTTTAATTAGGCTGGTCACCTTTCCGAAAAAAAACATATCGATCTAAAAGTATAGGTATATGTATGTATATTATACGAGAAGGTATTTTGTGTGATGGTCATTCGATTTTCAGCGTTCTTTTGAATTTCAAAAATGAGAGGTTTGAATTTGACCTTAACCTGTAGATGTGCGATAAAGTTTTATTTTTTTTCTTAAGATTTTTTTTATCGGTAAAGGGTGATTTGAAATTTTGATGAAATTAATGCGAGACCTCTCTTCACTAAAACACTGCTAAACGGATTTAGATGAAATATGGTACTTTGATCTCGGCCGCTGTGGTGTAGTGGTAAGCAGTGCGCGCTTCCACCCCGCAACGCCTGGGTTCAAGCCCTGGTCAAAGCAACATCGCAAAAATATATAGAAAAAAGTTTGTTTCTTAACAGCGGCCGTCCCTCGGCAGGCAATGGCAAACCTCCGAGTGTATTTCTGCCATGAAAAATAGCTTCTCATAAAAGTACAATCGCCGTTCGGGGTCGGCGTAGGTCCCTCCACTTTGTGAGACAACATCAAGGGGACCGCCACAAATCGGAGCAGAAGCTCGGCCAAACACTAACATATGTGTAAGCGCCAATCTATTAGGATTATTATTATGGTACTTTGATCGTTTTTAGCTGTGACTAATATTTGGAATATTTTTTAGGGTTTTGAAATTCAATTTTGGGCATTTTAACGCCATGCGGCTTCACTAGTATCTATAAAATTTCCTTAAATATTTAGTAGTTCTTCGAAATTGAGTGTCAAAAGTGTCAGGAAGTGTCCGATTTCGACCCGAAGTGGGTTAAGCTGATTTGGATTCTGAGGATAAAAATACGTAACTTTCGTTTGAAACTTTTTACCCGGAAGCGCCTTTCTCAAATTCTAAATGACCTTCGAACTTCAACTCGTCCTGGTCTTCTTAAATGAGCGAACATATTTTTATTGCAATACGAAAAAATAGAATAACCAAATCCGGGATGCTCTATCTTTTGGTCGTACTACCGATTTCCAGTTTCGACCGGAAGTGGGTTAAACAGACCGCAAGTGCATTATTTTAACCGGAAGTCCATTCAAAAAAAAAAGTTTCCGACAGAAGTTATGTATTACATATAAAAAGATAGATAAATAGTTAGTTAAAGCACTGAGACCGGTTGGTCTTTTGTACCCTTAGCTCATCACAACTCCCCCAGCTTTTAGAATGGCTTAAAACCGCTCCACAGCCTGCTCAAGCACAGCAGTCAAACTTGTTCCTAAAACTGAGCTAAATGTTGGACACCACGAAACCATTGTTGTTTCGTTGAACCTTCAATATCGGAAAGAATAATATCTCAAGTTACAAACTCTTACACAGGAATAACAAGCAAATGATCAAAACTAGAATGTGGGTGAATTGTGGCACCTCGCTTTAATTACATCGAATTTAAAATCTTCCGATGGCTATCGACAACATGCATATATATTTTTTACTTAATCTAAAACAAACATACATTCTTGAAATTTTTTATTTTTAGAATATTCATGCACAATAAAACACACCTTAAAATTTTTAAAACATTCATCGTTCTTTGACCCCGCACGCATTGATGCCAACAAATTAATTTGGCATTTAGTTTTGTCTTGCAACATTATGTGGTGGACATTTCGTTTAGCACAACACATTTTATTTCAGCGCCCACAGCCGGGTCGTTTTCTGGCGTAGTTATGAGCCCTGCTAGAAAATCGTAAAACAAAAAAGGAAAAATCTTGGCGAAGTATAAATTTGAAGTCTTTATGCCTCTACTCCGCTAGAAAAATTGCAGTTACTATGATACTTCCGTAAGTATGTATGTAGATATTTGAGTACCCACTGGAAACGAGTTAACCCAACACTTAGCCGCAGACGCTTCTCTGATGCCTTCAAATGCGCTAATTAGTGCTTCCGATCTGTCAGTAAGAACCCCTATCCTCCCGGAAGCAATCCTATTCCTACTGGGTAGCTATTAATCGAAATAAATGTGTCGCTTAAATTTTGTGTAGTTAAATGTCGGTCACCAGCGAACAGAACATTTTGTGCCAGGGATTTCGTATCGTCGAGTTTAGTTGAGTTGTTGGCAGTCCTTCAGCGTCGTTCACAGTTGCTGCTCGGCTGTCAACAACATTTTCATGGTCACTTAAGTGTGCGAGTTGATTTGTCGCAGCCACAACTAGTATGTAATATGTATGTATGTATGTATTTATATAGTTGGCAACGGATATTTAGTTTGGTGAATAGTTATGTTTGCTCAGTGGTAGGGTGTGTGCGTGTGCGTATGCTTAAAGGTTTACACAGCAGTGTCTGCTGTTGTCACTTGTCCTCCCTCGTATTTACTGTTAATTTTGCGCACGTTACATATTTCCACATACCTATGTGCATAAATATAAGCGCCGCCTTAGTTGTTGATTTTTTTTTTTTTGTATTTGCCTTGCCACACATTTTGCTGTTACATTTACAAACTATTACCAATTATTGCAACATAAGCTGCATATTTATTTACATTTATATACATATGCACATACTTACATACATATTTGTATAAGTTTGCAAAATGTTCGCTCGAGTATAGTACTTAAACAAATAAAATCAAGGAAAGTTGTTGCCTTCTCAAGAATGCTATAAATTTAGTGAAGGTACCAGTAGTAAGCTAAATTGAAGTGGACGCTCTTAAAGTATTTACTTGTTTTTTTTTAAGGCAATTTCGAGTACCCTAGTACTTACCCTGTAGTTCTCAGTTCCTGCTCGCCAAAAAACATTAAACCTTTGCTAAAGAAATATTTCGATTATTCCCGTAGAACGAGTAATAAAAATTGTATTGCTCAATGAAAAGGTCACCGAAAAATTGTTCAGTCAAAAAAATTTTTTTTTTAGAAATTTCATTTGCATGAATACTTTAAGGCGGGTTCACCGTTCTTGTCCGGACAACTTTTTATTTGCTCTCAAAACATTTTTGCCGCAGAGGGTGCTGAAGTATGGTTCACGGTTCAGTTCGGCTCATTTGATTTTGTTCTGAAGCAAACAGCTGATGATATTGTTGCCTACATACGATTTTGAGGGCAAAAAATACATGCAATTCGCTGCAAACGCATACAAAGGAGAACGCGGCAACAAGTCGTTCGTACAGAAAATCGAAATCAATTAGATTCGAACAAAGATTGTTCAGCACATTTTGGTCGCGCTCTCAATGAGACAGAGTGGGAAAGGAAAGCGTAAAATTACTAACAAAAAGTGTCCGGACACGAACGGTGAATCCGCTTTAAGACTCAGGGTGTGCGGCGAACTTTTATCGTTTGCTTGTAAGGTGGTCTAGTGGACAACCTAGAATAAATGTTAAGCCGACTCCAGCTCGTCGTCAAGCAGTGAACTTCAAGGAAAAAAATTGAGATTTGTGGGTTTATATCAGTCATGCCCAACGTCGGCAGAACTCCATAAGCAAGTGCCCTGCGCTGGCAGAATTCCATATGCAAGTGCCCTGCGCTGGGCATGACTGGTTTATATGGAAGCATAGGTAGCTTTTTGGGCCGCTTCCAATCCCTTCTGACCTAGCTGGACCTCGGAATTTTGCAGGTCCTAGTTTTCGCTAAGCTGTCACGAGGTCATTTTGGCCTAGAGTCCACAGTCGACGGGCAGTGCCGCTCTCGCCCGCTCCTTGCCCGGCGATATGGTTTAAAGAGTACCTTTTTCCGCAAACTCATCAGTCATGCGTAATATCGCAGTGGCCTGTAACCCATATGACACTAATTAGAAAATATTCTGAAGCAATTCAGAGGAAAGTCAGTCACTACCTGATAAATGCGGGAGTACCGAAAACGAACTGTACGAGCTTTTTAACGACATGGACATGGTTAAGCGCATAAAAATAGAGCGATTGCGCTAGCCTGGCCATGTTTTAGGCATGGATGATAAGGCTCCAGTAAAAAGTTACTTCGACTCAACACCTACGGATTGACAACGAAAGAAAGGATGTCCATTAACACAATGGAAGGACAAAGTGCAGAAGGACCTGTCTGCACCTGGGATGAACAACGGGCGCCACCACGCAAAAGATAGAGGCAGTTTGTTGGTCTCAGCCAAAACCAACAAATGGTTGTCTTGCCAAGTACCCAAACTCAAGAATATCTACTGAAAACCCAGTCGGAGCTTAAGTTCACGTCTAATGCAAGATGCCTTTTGCATTGATCATCAAAAAGATTACCTTCAAAAACAATAGCTATTTTAAATCACAAAATACCTTACTAGCCACTGATTTTTCGGAGTAGAGCTCGCCAGAACGAGAAGCACTTTTGAGTAAACTCAAAGTAGGTATGATTTAGTATGTCAGGTTTTTTAGCTAATGAGAGAACTTTCTTAATTTCTGTATTACAATATTAAGTGGTCCTCATAAAAACTATAAACTTAAAATTGTACCAAATAAAATAGCAAACAAATATTGTAAATTTCCAGATTTGTTATAGGTCTTTAAAGGCTGTCAATAAATGACAAAATAACTAAATACAGTAGTAGATTTGCATTTCCGAATATCCCAGAAAGGAACTAAGCTTCTGTTAAATAACCTCAAAGAGGCAATCCCGAGTTTCAATGAGTAAATAAAATGTTTTTGCATTTGATTTTCGTGTTAAGGTTTATTTTAAAAGAATTGTTTTTTTTTAAGAAAATTCCATTTCCAATCAGTTCCAATTACTATCACAGATTTGCTGCTATATTCCATCTACTTGCGGAGCACATAGGCGGCGCTGTATGGGTAAGCGGAGTAGGCAGCATAGGGTGAAGCGTAGGCGGCGTAGGGAGAAGCGGCGTAAGCGGCGTAGGGAGCAGCATAGGCGGCAGCGTAGGGTGAAGCAACCAATGGGGCTGAGTATGCGAAGGGCGCAGCGACGACAGCTGGTTTGGGCTCAGCAGCAGCGAAGGCGAAGAGGGCGACGAAAACGAGAGCGAACTACGGGAAAAGATTGGGAAAAGTTCGATTAGTAAATCTTAATTTTTTTTATTATTTTCTAATACATATACATTTCTGCATATAAATATATGCACATGAGTAGGTGAATGCTTTTAACTTACATATTTGAACATTTTGTTTTGTTTGTTGTTTGGTAGTTGTTTTACTTTAGTAGAGCAAACTTTAACTGATGATAAGTTCGATAAATGCTTGAGCTTAAATACAATTAAGCTGATGCATTTCGTCGCTTATACAATCACACATGTATACAAGTATCTCTCCCTTTCATGCATATGTTGGCATACTAAGGTAACTTGATGGATAGGTGTAACTACAAAAATAAAACCGCGATTTTTCTGTGGTCTAAACACGTAGCGCGTCCTCAGTGTCAATATACGGTTTTTATTTTTAAAAAGACACTCGTACTGCAATTGTGTGAGGTCAATAAAAACAAAAGCATGCCATTAACAGACTTGCTTTGATTTAATGTCTCAATACGTGTATGTGTAAAATGATAAGCTTGGCTTGTTTCTGCTTGTTACTGTTGAGAATACTAAGTACTAAATATACATACATATATATGTTCATATGTATGTATGCATGCTTGCACATATGATTGTCTATAGGAAATACGAATTATTCAAGTTAGTCAAAGAAAGATATGGGTATTTGCAGAAAAAAAAAATTAATTCAAAGTATAATAAATCACAACACAATCAAATAAAATTAAATAAAATGAATTATAATAAAAAACAATATAAATGTTAAAAAATAAAAGAAAAAATAAACTTAAAATAAATAAACGGAAATACAATGTATGAAATAAAATAAAAGTAAATAATTAAATTAAAATAAACTAAAACAAAGCAAAATAAATTAAATCAAAATAAAATGAAATAGAATAAAATTAAAAAAAAATGTATGAAATGAAATAAACTAAAACAAAAAAAAATAATAAAACAACCTAACATAAAATAAAACAAATCAAATATAAAATAAAAAAAATTAAAAAGTAAGTAAAATAAAAATAAATTTAAATAAGCTAAAATAAAATTAAGCAAAAGTATAGTAAATGCAATATGATATAAAATAAAATAAAACAAAATAAAGAGAAATTAAACAAGATAAAATATAAAAAATTATAATACTAAATTAAATTGAATAAGGAAAATGAATTAGCAACAAGAGTTTACGGGATGTACATAGCTCAGTGGTTAACGCTTCTGACTTTGAACATCGAATTCGCAGGTTCGATCCCTGCTGAAGTCTAAAAAAAAAAAAAAGAAGTCTGATGAGGAGATGTGGTGATCTCCGTAATAGTGCTATAACTTCTCCCGCGTAGACTTTGTTGCTTTTTCAATTTTTCCTAATAAACAATCGTGGTACAAAGCTCAATAAAAATATTAAAAATAAAAAATGTTAACAAGCCACAATAACATTGATAGATTAAATAAATTAAATAAAGTTAGATTGAACTTAATAAAAAAAGTAAAATTAAACTAATTTATAGAAGAAGAACTAAGATACAAAAATTAAAATATGTATAGTGAAATGAATTAAAATAAAACCTAATAAGCCGAAATAAATACATTGAAATTAAATTAAATAAATCAGAGCATTATAAAACATCATAAAATTAAATTAAATTACGTTAATGAAATAAAATAATCTGAATTAAATATTAGGTAAATTAAAGTAAAATTAAATTAAGTTAAATTAAACAAACAAGAAATAAAATAAAATAAAATAGAGTAAGACAATTAAACAAATTAAAATTAAAAAAAAAAATAGATAAAAATAAAATAAAAATGAAATAACAAAGAAATATTTAAATTAATTTACATTAAATAAAGTTCGATAATATTAAATAAAGCAATAAAATAAAATAAGTTTAGATAAAACGGAAAAAGTAAACCAAAGTAAAACAGAGCAAAACAAACTAAATGAAGTGGAATAAAATCCATTAAAATAAAATAAAAAAAAAACCAAAACCTAATAAAATAAAATAAAATTTAATGAAAAATTATAAACTGAAATAAACCTAAATAAATAAAAACTAAAAGTAAAATAAAATAATATACAATAAAAAAATAAATAAAATAAAATTATATAAAACAAAATAAAATAAAATAAAATAAAACAAAATAAAATAAAATAAAATAAAATAAAATAAAATAAAATAATATAAAAGAAAAAACAAAAATAAAAATAAAATAGTATCCAATCAAAACCACACAAATAAAATAAATAAAGTAAGAGAATAGATAAATAAAATAAAATATAATTAAAAGTAAATTAAAAAGTAAAATGTAAAACTCAATTCAATAAAAAAAAATTATGTCCATTGATTGCAACCCATGTGACCTTTTTTTTCATCTTCCAGAGTAAATATACTTATTTAATTTGTGAATAAAGAAAGTCATCTAAATAACCATTGGCATCGAAATTCTTCCAAGTACTAGGTATGTAATTATATATCGTTGATGCCTTTGTAAAACCGCCCAAATCGCTATTGTGGCAAAAATGAGATTTGATAACCCTGAACTCCAAGCATATAGATATATGGATAAAAATCTGTAAATCGTTATTAAAACAACAAATTTGTAAAATAATAGCTAGAGAAAATACCGCCTCAAAGCAATGCCTTCAAAGAAAATCCGTCTTTATGCTCCCCTATAAAAGTTGAGTGCCGTAAGATAGACGGTTTTGCAAAGGCATCGACGATATACATATATATGTATATATATGAAGAAAACTGAATTTTGGTTGTTTTTAGGGCTTGGAAAGGACGAAAATGTCTATGAAGGCAAAGTACTCTCGAAGTAGGCTTTAAAACTAGAGTGGTTAGTTACAAACATTTTTCTTTACCATGGAGATTGACCCGCTCTAATATACATACACATATGCTCACAAATGTCCCGCAGCCACAATATGTTCAAACATACATATTGCTGTTTTGCCTAGCCGCACTTTCGCTAGAACTATCCGCAACAGTACAAAACAGCGACGAATGTTGCCGACAGCATAGCAACATAAATTTATTATGAAAATGGCTCGACACTTTTGAAATGGGTCTACTCATTTTCACTCCAAAACTTTGGTTGTTGTAGTTGTTATTTTTGTTATGAGCATGTAACTTTGCGTAACGAGTGTTCGTTGTTATTAATGTTCCTGCTGTTGCAAACATTTTACATACTCGTACAAACATGTGTGAAATGTTCACCAAAAACACTCTTGCTGTGCACTGCTCGTTTGCATGTGAGTAAAAATGTTGCCAACTGCAATGAAATAATTACAGATAAAAGAAAGCCCAAAAAAAAGACTGGCGAGTTACTTTTTAAACGGCGCTAAGCGCTCCAACACTAACGAGAATAACCATTGCATAATAATATCCATAACAGGGTATGTTTGTAAGCTGGTTTTATTGTTAATCACTTTGTGGTTGCGATTATGTGTATGTGGCCTGCAGGAAAATTCACTCGTTTCGAAATGTTCAAGGTTGTAAAAGTTTTCTCTTATTCTCTAATAGGGACTTGAAGAGTCTTGAAGAGTTAAAACGTCCACCATTAGCGCAAGATACGAGTTATACTAAATCAAAGGCTACTTCGCAAAGGGTTCCTTCGTCCTGGCCAAACGGACTTAGCAACCCTGCATGTTAGTACTTTCATCCCAATCCAGCGTTTGCTGAACTGACTTTGTAGCCCACTTGTTTAAGAGCACGATTAGGTTACTCGAAGGAAACGTATGTATTTCCGAAAAATCCATTATCTTCTTAGCAAAAAAGAAATCCAAGTAGTGATCATAAGAATTGCAAAGAAATGTCGAACCTCACTGGCATCATTGGGTAATCTAAACGCCACTCGGTGCTGGTTGTCTGGATATTAAAGAGAGCCATAGGTAAGGCTAAGTGAGGCTGGCTATCCACAGTGTTGCTTCCTAGAGACCATTGAGGTCCATAACGTGAACAGAAAAATTACGAACAAAGTACGTAGCTAGCCTCTGGAGACCAGGATGGAACTACTTCAAGTTGTTATATTCTATTTTGGCAGCTGCCCTAGATGCACAACAAAGCCTACTACCGAGAGACTAATTTTCAGTATGCAAAAGGCTGGACGACACACAAAAGATGTGCTCTAGAGTCTTCGCTGCTTATAAGACTTAGCCAGCCATACTCATGACCTCACACCAGATGTTCAGATATCGACTCTGAAATTCAGCTCAAACACAGGTCCGGAAACATGTCGTCAGTCCATCCGGAGGTTGTTGACGCTTTAAACCAGCTCGGCATTTTAGATTTCTCAGTAAGAAGTAATAAGTCCGTATTTTCTAGCGTTGATTCTAAGCTGTACTTGAAGTAATTGAGTCACTCAGTTATATTCGATGGGCTGTCCGAGATAGCCTCTTTCATTTATGTATATATGGGCTCCGATTAGAGGGGTAAGTCTCTTTCCGGCACCCAAAGAGTGCAGTATGGGCCACTGTGGACAGCTCCGAGTGCAAGTTATAGGACTAACCATACACGCTTTTCCGATCTAACTTAACATAAACTAGTTAAAGGAAATTTCACACTGTTTTTATTCAGAAAAATCTCTACATACAAAGAAACTCTTGGTAGCGATGTATTTCGACGCAACCGAAAGGAAGTAAGGCATTCTCAGATTCATTTGGAGCGAATTGAATATCAGATACATAGTTCTAAGCTTCAATATTCATTTTGCTGTACGATAGAATTGCCTGCTTGGAAATGTGTTCATCAATTCGATACTCAAAACTTGCGTTATTTGCCGCCCAAAACAACTCCAATGGTTTCTTTATACTCCATCCATTCCTCTCTTGGTGGAATGAAGGTCAATAAGAAATAGCTCTCCTTCCATTAATGAGTTTTGACATTAGATTTCCGCATAGGATTTGATCCAGATAGTTCGCGACCCCCAGCGATGTATAATGCGCTGGGTTTCGTACCCGCCACGTAAAAAACCGTGCCCATGAAATGTTCAATATAGCCTCGTATGAGACCGTCTTCTTTTAATGATGAAACGACTGGAATGCTTTATTGAACTCGGCCAAAATCACATAGGCGGTTACAGCGCCAATTAAGAAGAAGAAGAACTTCGCCTACTTAGAAATCAATGGAGAAGAGTAGAACACTTGGAAGCAAATATCTCTTCGCTTGGGG